TAAACAGAAAAAGAAGGTTTTTTCGTCTCAGCTGCAACAATACATTGTTAGGTATGCATTTGCTGGGTATAATCTCAGTAGGATTAAGCAACCATGCACCCATCTCCATTTGGAAGCCAAGCGGATTTTTACTCATAAAACAAGCCATTATGTAAAATTACATAGAGCCTTCTAAATGCCAGGCACTCTTTTATTAGTGTATTTTTGCCTTAATCTCCTGTGCCCTTTTGTAGAAAGTAATGCAGGGAGTTTATCATTCACATTTTTTAAAAAACAGATTTAGAAATTAATAACTTTTTACAGTGAATTGAAAAAATGTAACAACAATAACAATAGCTAGTATTTGTGAAGAATGCCAAGGTTTGCAATGTGTTAGTTTTATCTCATTTGATCAGAATTTCTTTTGTAGCAGCTGATCCCCTTCTGGTCGGATGAATTTTAGTCCTTGTATATTGAGTTTAAGATGATTAGGACTGTTAGACTCTGGATGTCACAGTCTGGATGGAGTTAACATGGATCCAGGATATTTTCTTTTATATGCTTAGGACCTCACCTTTCTGCAGGGAATAATCAAACTCTGAGGAATAGCTTTGTGCTACCCAAGTTCATGAGATCAAACTAGCATTCAAAAACATATTTACAGTTCAGACATGCCTTCCTACTGGCTAATGTACCTTGGCTAGCAGGTGTGTCCTAGGTCTGGTATTAGCTTCCTGGCAAGCTGAATTTCAAGCTGTTTGAGGGCTGTTCGGTGAGCCTGGGCTCTAAACCAGAGGGATTGGATGATCTTATGAGGGTACTTGAACTAGGCTCTAATGGAGAGCCTTCAGAATCATTGCCACTGCATTGTAGAGAATATTATTCTAGTAACCAGGGTTCTCTGGCTCCAGCAGTTGGTATATTCTTTGGATAATACATTCCATGATTAGCATTTATATCTATGTTCTCCTACAAAACTTTACCTGACTTTTTAGAGGCAGCTAGGTGGTGTAGTGGGTAGAATACTGGGCTAGATTTGGGAAGAACTGGGTTCGAGTCCAGCCTCAGTCATTTACTAGCTGTGTGATGTTGAGCAAATCATTTAATCTGTGCCTCAGTTTTCTCAGCTGTAAGGTGAGAAATAGTAGTACCTACCTCCTAGGGTTGTTCTAAAGATCAAACGAGGTAATACTTGTAAAGCACAATGCCTGGCATATAGTAGGTGCTATATAAATGCTAGCTTCTGCTGCTGCTGCTACTACTACTACTACTACTTGGGTTCTAGTTTTGGTTCTGCCATTTTCTGCCTTTTTTGATGACTTGGACAAGTTGCTTAGTCTCAGTCTCTTTTTTTGTAAAATAATACTCTCCTGGTCAAATAACATATGGCTAATATAATCCATTTTAGAAAATAATTCTTGTTGGCCTCCATTTCAGAAGCCATTATTTTCTGACTTTGAACCTAGATTCTGAGGTAGTACCTCTTTAGGGTTGTGTCACATACTAGTAGTTTTTTTTTTAAAGGAAAACAACCAACCTTTATGAATTATATATGAAAAATATTTCTGCTATTCAATTTTAAATGAGCATAAGATTTAGGGAAGGAACTTAAAGATCAACTGATTCATTGCTTTCTTTTTATAAATAAACTGAGTGCCTGAGATACTGAAGTGATTTGCCCAGGGTCACAGTAGTTAATAGAACCTGAAGCTGGGTCCTCTTACTGTAAATCCAGTGCTTTTTTCATGATGATACATTTTAGAGCTTGGCCCTTCAATGAGGATAGGCTTTGTGTCATTAATGTATGTAGCTGCTGTGTCTCTCTTGGATGCTATATAAATTTTAAGTTGCAGTTTAAGTCACATCATAAAGAATCCAGCAAAAGGTATGATGATGCACCCTGGCCTTTGTAATTCTAGCAGGGGTAGAACCTGCAAATCCAGGGTCAAGGGCCTCTGATGTGTAATAAGTCATCAGGACTAGGTTTGTAGAGGGAGTGGTGTTTAGTAAGACATGCTTTATTATGGAATTATAATGGCTACAACAGAATCCACAGAAGAATGTGCTTTGCCCTACTGCCAATCCTATGTAGCAAAAGAGCCCTTGACCCCAAGGGTGGGACTGGATATTTACCATACCACACCCCATCATTCCACTTGGAATCACCACTTTGGCTTGCAGGCCAGGGTTCTGGGATCCCTTTGGCTTCCCACCTCTGTAGCCTTTCTGGCCCCTTGGGTGGTGGTTACACCACGTGGGTCCTAAAGGAGGACTGGAGGAGGCCTGAGGGACACACGAATTCAGCAGCCTGATTTTGCTGAAGAAACTTGAGAATCCGTCTGACTTCCCCAAGCTCATGCAGCTAGTAAGTGCAGCTAGTCTGACTTGGGCCAGCACGCATTCTTCCACGTTAGGCAGCTGCCTTCTGCCTGGCACAAAATAAAAGCTTAATAAATGTGTTGTTAAATGCCTCTTTTAACATAACTTCAGTATCATTTGTATCTTCTTAGCTCTGTTCTTATTTTTAAAAGTATTTAGCTTCATATATTTCATCTTAAATATGGATCATCTAGTTGAACCTTCCCATATTACAGATAAGGAAACAGACAGAGATATTAAGTGCCTTGCCCAAGTCTACACCTCGGCAGAACTGGGAAATCGAACCCAGACCCTGTGGTTCCAAATGGAATGCTCTTTCTACTGATAGGTGCTAAGTAGTCATATTTGGATGAACAAACATGGAGAATACAGAAATGACAGAGCAACAAGGTTGAATCCAAGATTTCAGTTTAGTGTCTTATAGGGACAGCCATGGCATAACAGATGGAGAGCTGACCTAGGGCTAACATTTATAAAGTGCTTTAAGGTTTGCAAAGTACTACATAGCATGTCGGGATCTGGAATCAGGAAGACTCGAGTTCAAATCTAGCCTCAGTCACTAGCCTTGTGATTCTGGGCTAGCGCCCCCTCTTCTTGCCTCAGTTTCCTCCTCCCTCTCAGGGTTGTTGTGAGGCTCAAATGAAGACATTTGTAAAGTTTAGCACAATGCCTGGCACATAGTGAATCTGGTACAAATGCTTTTCTTTCCCCTTCCTCCCCTTTATCTGTTGTACCTTCCTTCTGCTTTGTAGCTGAGATGGCCTTCAACTCTTGTCTGTGACATACGGACTGTGTGACCCTGCAAGGCACTCAACTTTTCAGAGCTCTGGCAGCTCTCTAAGATATAAGTTGTAGAGGTATCTGTCTCAGTCAGTAAATATTTATTAAGTGCCTACCGTGTAGTTGGCACTGTGCATACAGTGCTGGGGAATACCAAGAAAGGTAAAAGTCACTACTGTTAAGGAGAGTGGAGGTGAGAGTGGATGGTGACCATTCAGTGCTTGGAGGGCAGCCAGTGGGGTGGGGGGGGTGGGGAAGGGAGAGAGAGACAGACACACAGGCACAGAGATAGAAGAGAGAAAGAAGAAAAAAGAGAGGGGAGAGAGACATGGATTGCAAAACTAGACAGAAGGCTATTGAAGTGATACATAAATTTTCTTCTGAGATAAATGGAATCTCAGATCTAGCCCTGATCTTTGTCATATCCTAGGACATGTCTGTGGCCCAGTGGTTACAGTGTTGGATTTAGAGTCTGGAAAACCTGCGCTGTTATCCAACCTCAGACTCTAGCTCTGGGCAAATCGTTTAACCTCTCTTTACTCATCTATAAAATAGAAATAATTATAGCAAGTGGGAAGCCCTGGAGTCCAAAAGACCAGAGTTCAAATCCAGCCTCAGAAACTAGCTGTGTGATCCTGGGCAAGTCACTCAACTCCTTTTGTCTCAGTTTCTCATCTGTAAAATGAGCTAGAGAAGGAAATGGCAAACCACTCCAGTATCTTTGTCAAGAAAACCCTAAATGGGGTCACAGAGTCGGACGCTACTGAAAACGATTGAACTACTACACAACAGGGCTTATGTGAGAATCATGTGATATACAACTTGTACTTTGCAAATCTCAAGGGATGTATACGTATTGTCTGTAATTATTGTTGAAATGGTGATGGGGAGGGAGTAAGTTGGGAGGGTCTGTAGGATTATTATTAAACATCGAAGGGCTGATGGGAATAGGGTGAAATGTTCACTGTCCTGCTTCTGGATGAGAATAGTTACCCAATTTTTCATCGTCTTGCCCAGATTCCACTAGCCCAAGTATCCCTTTCCTCGTGTGACCTCCCTAGCTCCTCCCTCCGTCTTGTTTAATTTCCTCCAGCCCTGATCTAGAACAGCGAAGGGAAGGATCCTGGTGAAATAGGAACAGATTGGGGAAGATCCAAGGACGGCACGTCTCCGATCGGGTGGAGTCTCCCAGGGCTAGTTAAGTCCCCGGCTGGGGAAGGCACGCAGCGCTTGCGAACTCAAATCCGGACTCAGAAGCTTAACTTGCGTGGATGACCTTGGCCAAGCCACTAGACCTTTGGGTCTCAGTTTCCTCCTCTGGCAAACTGCGGGGGTTCCACCTCTTCACCTCTGATCCTACGATGATGCTGCTATGCTAAGGTCAATAGCCTTGCCCAGATGCAGGCGCCTCTCCCCCCAACCTGAGCCCGGCGTCCCAGGCACCCCGAGCCCGGAGCAGATAGTCTGGGGCGTGCCTTCACCCGCCCGGCTGCCATTGGTCGGAAGTTCCCGAGTGGTCACAACTTGCCACGACAACCCAGTCCCCGCATTCCACCCCGCCTCTCTCGGCGGCGCTGCCCTTTAAGGGGGCGGGATCTGGCCCGGGCTACTGACTTTCGGCCGGGCCTATGAAACCGGAGGGAATCCCCAGCCGGGCCCCGCCTCCCCCCCCGGCGGGGCCGGACCCCTGGGGGCGGGGGCGTTGGGAGAGGGCTGGGCCGGGCGCCCGTACGCGCGCGAGTTCCTGGTTCGTCTCGGGGGAGACCCTTAAAGGGGAAGTGGCTGCGGCGCCGTCGGGCGGGCGGGCGGCGCAGCTCGAGGCTCGGTGAGTCGGTGGCCGGCTGCCTCCGCCGCTCGCTTGCTCTGTCGGTCCGTCCGGTCCTCCGCCGCTCGCTCGCTCGCTGGGCCGGCGGGGAGGCCCCGCGCTCGGGGGAGAATGCCCGCGGAGCCCGGGCCACCATGCAATGGAAGTCGCTGGTCCTGGGGCTGCTGCTGCTGCGGCTCGGCCTGCACGGCGCCCTCTGGCTCGCCTTCGGCCTGGGCCACAGCTTGGGCTTCTACCAGCGCTTCCCCATCAGCTTCGGCTTCCAGTGCCTGAGGGGCCCCGAGGGCCGCGCCGAGGCCGCCGAGGCCGCCTCTTCCGCGCAGCCCTCCTGGCTGAAGGCGCCGGGGCTCAGGGGGCCGCGCCCGCCGCGGGCGCAGGCGGGGCGGCGGCCTCGGCCCGAGCGGGGCCCGGGGCAGGCGACGCCGGGCGTGTGCCCTAAGTCGTACTGGGCGTCGCTGCTGGGCGGCCGGGCCCGGGGCGCGGGGGGCGACGAGTACGAGCGGCGCTACAGCGGCGCCTTCCCCCCGCAGCTGCGGGCGCAGATGCGCGACCTGGCCCGCGGCATGTTCGCCTTCGGCTACGACAACTACATGGCGCACGCCTTCCCCGAGGACGAGCTCAACCCCATCCACTGTCGGGGCCGGGGGCCGGACCGCGGGGACCCGTGAGTGCGCCGGGGCCGGGGACCGGGAGGAACTCGGGGGGATGTGGGGGGACCTGGCAGTGAGAGGTCAGCCGCCCAGCTCTCCGGCCGCAGCGCGGACTGCCCGGGTTCCACTCCCGGCTAAAGTTGGGGCACTGAGAGCCTCCTTGGCGATCCTGCCTTCCCAGCCGACCCAGGAAAAGGGCATCCCAACACATTATTTTAAAACCACAGCAAATCACTCCCCCATGAAATACCCCTCGCTTCCTACCCATTTTCATAGCTCTCGGAAAACTAGGGATTTGGGAAGTTCCCTTGCCCCCAAAGTGAACTGAAGCCCTTCCCCGGGGAGAGTGACCCCATCTGTGTCCAGCCTTCCAGCAGGGCGAGGACCTAGTTTTCCTTCGGAGGCTTCTAGGGTGGCGGTGAGGAGTGTGATGAGTCAGCCCTGGGATGATGTGAACTGGGGCTTCCCCAGGACAAGGCGCCTAATTGGCGCTCAGGACTCGGATACCACAAGTTAGAAGAAAACTGTGACCTCCACATGGATCAGAGGGTTAGAATTTTGGCACCTGGCTTGCGTAAGTGCATCCCGAAGTGCCATATGGTAGGAGCACAGAGAGGGGAGGGAGGCTAACTCCTGAGTGTTACCCTCTCGGAGCTGGGAGTTTCGTGGTTCATTACCCTTAACGCCAAAGTGCAAGAATGCGAAGGCCTTCTAGGTCGCTCTTAGCGGTATTTGCCATCTCCAGTAAGCTGTCCAAGTTAGTGGTGAGGAGGAGCTACTTTTTTATGGATTACTGAGGATGTTCCTTTTAACCTGCATTCTCCGGTGAGACCTGAGGGATAGGTTGATGCTGCCTGCTGCTTTTGAGATGTCTGTGGAGCCTGTGCCCCCCTTGAATCGTTGTAGTTTGGGACTAACACATTTTCGAATGTCCTGAGTTGGAAAAATAAAGTGGAATCAGCCAGAATCACTTTTTTGTGCAGTCCATTCCAGAAGAGCTGGATTTAACCACTTGAATTGTTATTGAGAGTTATTTTTTAATTCCACGATGACTTCAAAGCAACAGGACATTCCAAAGTATTTTTGGCCAGCAGATAGAGCTATCAGAGAGAAAGGAAAATGGTGTAGGGAACAAAATTGTTTTTCTTGTTTTTTCAAATGCATCATACTTGGTTTTAACTTTTCTCTCACTTTTTTTTGGGGGGGGTTGTAGGAGAATGGAAAGAAATTTTTTTTCTGTGGCCAAAATGAATGTTTTGTTTTTAATATCAGGCGTTTTATTTCCCTTCTGATCTCTCCATAAAAGGAAAGGGACTAGTAGTGAAATGTGCAAACATTTTCAATTCCAGATGATGGGAGTGTGGAGAGAGACTTGATAGAACTTTATTGTGTTTTGTTGAAACATCTAGAGACTTACCTCTTTTCAGTTGGGGTGAGGTTTTAGCTGATGGATGAATTTGTGGGCCCAGAGCAAATATGTATTGATTTAATAAACTTTCTTATCTCAGTAGGATATCATTCATTCCATCAACAAGCATTTACTAAGTCCCTGCTACATGCCAGGGACTTTATGTGCTAAACTGGGGCATAAGGGGGTAGTTTACAACGATAAAAACCAAAGTCCTTGCTCTTACGGGGCAGAATACCTCGATAGCATTCTCCTCTCACCCCCCCTCCCTTTTTGCAGTTGAGATCAGATAGAATTTGGGGGAGGGTGGATAAAGTAGAGAGGGAGTGGGAAATTATTGGTCAGTATTAAATAAATTTAGAATCCTAGTCCAGGTTTTGCCAGTTAAGTTAAGTGATGTTTGAGCAAGCCAGTTGTCATTTAACCTCCTGGGGACTCAGTTTCTCTATCTGTAAAACGAGGGGTGTTGGACTTAGTCCCACACATCAGTTCAAACATTCCATCTTCTCTAAGGTTTTTAAAAGCTGAAATATGCTGTGGTCTCTAAGATTATATGATTATGTGACAGCATTATGTTGACTGATAAAGTGGTTATCTTTGTTTTTTAAGTGGCAGTTGCTTAGCTTGTGGTATGATTTTTAATTGTGTTGATGTCACATGGTCAAACACTGTCTTCTGAATTGTCCAGAGAGCTGGAGTTCTCTTCTCCATTTCCTCATTTAAAAGAATGGCAGTCTTTGCATGCAGTCTTATGATCAGAGTAATGGAAGCTTCTTCCTTTATTTCATTCCTGATCCTTTTAAAAACTTCTTGCCTCTGAGATGTGCATTAAGGCTTTTGAAGGAGGAGAGTGAGGTTCAGTATAGGGCTATCCAAAATCCCCCTCTCCCCTCCAAAAGGGCATGTTTGGGTTCAAGTAATAGGGCACACAGCTATTACCTAGAATGTGTTGTGTTTAACTTAAAAATAATTTAGAAGGACAGTAATGTCGAAGCAGCTATGTGGTACAGTTGATAGAGCCCTGGGTCTGGAGTCAAGAAGACCTGAGTTCAAATTTGACCTCAAACACTTATTAGCTACGGAGGGCAAATCGCTTAACCTCTGTTTGCCTTAATCTGTTGGAGAAGGAAATGGCAAATCACTTCAGTATCTGCCAAGAAAACTCCACGGACAGTATGGCCATGGGGTCATTACTGGACAACAAAGAACAACAGCAACATTGAGGCACAAAGTTAAACACAATCCCTCTTTTAAAACTGTTACTGTGTATGTGGCTTGCTATTTTCTGTGTCTATCTGCCAGAATTGGGGAGAATGGAAGAATCAGTATTAAATAAATAAACCCTAACCATTTAACAAAGAACTTTTCCACTTCACCTGATGCTTACCACGAATACATAGACATTCAGTTAAACAAACATGAACTGCCTTTAACAGTGAGAGGACTTGTTGGCTTCCTCGGTTCCTGAAGCATAAGATAGGCAGGAGCCGCCATGCTGGACAGGCTTGCTGGTATTCATGTCAGTTGCAGGCTCTTTACTGGGTTGGCCATAGAGAGTTTTTAGCCTTTATCAGCTCCTGAAGTCTAAGTTATAGGATCATTGGATCATGGACCTCGAAGTGCCTGGTCCAGCCGCCTCATTTTACAGTTTGAGGAAGCTGAGGCCCAGGGAAGTCATGTGACCCAAGGTCACTGATGTATTGGGTGTCAAAAGCAGGATTTGAACCAGAGCCAGCGCTCTTTTCTAGGAGTGATTATCCATTAAGTGGAGAGAGTACCACAACTTGTAAATCACGGGGCCTTAATGATTTTATTCAAGAGCCCTGTCAGGTACTGGGGATGCAAAGATGAAATAAAACTGAGCTCTTGTCACAGAGTTTGTTTTTATGCTTCAATTTGTGTTGAATACAGAAGTAGTACTTCTGGACACTTTGGCATAGTCTAGTGTAAATTATGCAGATATTTATTTGTAATTTCATTACTGATCATCATATTCTATGATTATGCTCCCTTCCATCTCCCCTCTCCCCTTCCCCCCATAGTGCTATTTTTTTTAAGGGCCATGATTAATTATTTTCTTCAAAGTATTTGAAGAGGGATTAGATTTGTTCTGCTTGTCTCCAAAGGGCAGAATTAGGAGCTGTTGGTGAAAAATGCATATTAAAAACAGGTTTCTGTTTAACATAATGAAATATTTCCTAACATAGAGAGCTGTCTAGAAATAGAAAGGACTGCCTCAGGAGACAGTAAGTTTTCTCTCATGAGGTCTTCAAGCTGTAGCAGAAGGGGGATTCAGGTCTTCTGGTAGATGAGGGTCCTTTCACAGAGTCCTGCCTTCCTTAGGATGGTTTCCTTGACTGGGATGTCTTCCCCACGTCTCTGGACACCTACCAAGTGGTCTCCAGCCTTCAAAACTCAGTTCATTCAGTTTTTTCCTGATGCCCCTCCCTGACTGCTCCTAATGAGTCCCCTTTCCTCTGAGCTCATAAAACTTAAGGACCAGGTATTTTAATAATGATTTCTGTATTTCCTTATAGTCTTCAATGGGGGCATTATTGTTTTGTCTCCTTGCTTACAGCTACTTGAGACCAGGAACTGTTTCTAATATGCCCACATGTCTCCCAGCCCCTGCCTCTAATGCTGTGCCAGACATCTAACATTGAAAGCTCTCAGTTTTGTTGGTTGTTTTTACTGGTTTTGGACTGAAACTGTTTTCATCAGCCTTGGAAGCTCCCATGCCTAGGGAGCTCTTTTAACAGATTGGTACTTCTTCTACAATTTCTTGTTTTAGGGTGTTGCCTGGGGCACCCAGAGGTTAAGTGACTGGCCAAGGGACAGCATATATATCACTGGTAAAACTTGAACCCTCCTATGTATGACTTAAGGCTGAGGTTCTATTTGTTAATCAGTGCTCATTAAGATGACAAATTATTCAAAACTATTTTTCAATCAGAAACAGAGATTTTTCTCTATTTTTCAAGTCAGCTAACATTTATTAAATTGTGTGTGTGTGTGTGTGTGTGTGTGTGTGTGTGTGTGTGTATGTATGTATGTATGTATGTATGTATGTATATAGACATATAAAATTAAATAACCCTAATTACTATTTGCAGGCACTGTGCGAAACACTGGGGGTACAAAGACAAAAATAAGCACCATTAAAAATTGAAACAAATTTGAATGCTATAAAAATTCACACACTGTAATTAAGTTGCAAACCCAGTTCTAAATTCTAACAGTTTAGTGAGTTAATAACATCAATGGAGGCCATGTACTTCCTGCAGGTGTATAGTCCAGAGTCTGTACAGCAGAAATAGATAATCAGGTTCTTGCCCTTTGAAGTGTTTACCATTTCATGAAGCAAACCAGAAATGTGATTGAAGGTGTAAAAACAGATGGGAAGAGCCTCACCTAAGGTAGAGGGTCTGTGATCCACTTTGGTAGAAGGATTACCCCCTCCTCCCATAGAATCACAGGTCTGTTGATTTTACCAGAGTCTGTATTCTCAAAATTTTCACAAATCTACTCCTCCACTTTCACATAGCAGCCATTTAAGACAAACCTCCTCTACTCCAAGAATTCTTTTTCCCAGTCTAAACCTTCTCATTTCCTTCAGCTTCTTCTTAAATGAAAATGGTTTCTCACCATTTGGATCACCTTCCTTTGGACCTTTATATAATGTGGTGCTCAGGCCTGGACATTGCATTTTGGATCTGGCCTGAACAGAGTAAAGGGCAGCCAGAGGAACAGTTGCTTCCCTTGTGCTGAGCACTGCTGAGTGAATGCATTCTGCTTTGACATCACAGACACTTCCAATCAACCTCCAGTGTCTATACCATAACCCTACACCCCCCACAAAGTACATGTTTAGAAAACATTGATCTTTAACCCAAATGAGGGATTTGTTCTTTAACTTTGGTGGCATGAGACATTTCTATTAATGCAGCCTAAGATTGCATTACTTTAGGGTTTTTTTTTTGGCTGCTGCATTATACTCTTGACTTGTGTTCTGCTTGTGGTACACCAAAACTGTCAGTTTTTATCACTTGATCTTTGACACAGTGAAAGTTAGAAAACCTCACTTAGAATCCCTATTATCACTTGCTACCTGTGTGACATTAGGCAAGTCGATTAAGCAGACATTGTGCTGTGCTGGCATTACTTTTGAGAACCTAGATTCCACTCTTACCCAGGGATGGTGCACCAAAAGAGGATTTTAATGACCCTTCAACTCATCAGGGAAACCTGTGATGGTGAGAAACAAAGATTGGATGCTTGTGTAGTGAGATGCAAGGATAACATGAACAGCTTGAGGTTCTGCTGGTTTCTATGGTATGGTGAAAGGCTTAGAGGAAGGCATTCAGTATTCCAAGTGGTAAATCTTAATGGAAGCTTTTTGAGAGGATGTGCATAAGAATAGCAGAGAACAACAAAGTGAATGGATTGTAGTCTGAGGTCTGCATAAGTGGATGGGGGTATCTGCGGCAGTAGATCAGACCTCCAATTCTGCCGAAGTGTCCAGGAACAAGCAAGTAGAAAAGGGAGTGAGGGGAAACCAGAGGTACTAGATCATCTTTACTGCCAACAACAAAAGTTAATTAAACCTGACACCTTAACCACTTTGGTGGGGACTCCAGCAATAACCTACTACCCTTCCCTCTACTTAGCCACTATTTGGAAAAAATCTTCATAAAAAGAATAATGGTATCACTCTGGATAAAATAGCAGTGAAATTATGTTATATTTATGCCAGAAATCAAAATGTGGAATAGTGATACCCAAATCTCAGTGACAGACATGTGGTTCTTTCATATGTAACTAGCTAGAAACATCTAATTTTCTGATTTAGAATATTAGACTGGAGAATATGGTCAACATGTAGTGAATGATGAATAATAGGATTTTAGGGGTAGAGGAGACCCAGGAGACCTAGTCTAGTCATTTTTGTTTTGCAGATAAGGAAACTGAGTCCCAATGATTAGCCCAATTTACAAAGAGGGCTAGTGACAGACCCAGAACTACGAGATTGCTAGTCTCCTGACTTTCTGTGTAGTGTTCTTTCCATGAGCCTTCAAATGTGGCCCCAGAGTTGACTAACTGTGAGTACTGCTGGTATGGACACTGTCATCTTAGAATTTTTTTAGTACTGTGAACTTCGATTGTGGCCTGGCTGGAAGAAACTTGGAGTTTTTGGGTTTTGTTTTGAAGTACCTAGCTTAACTTGATGCAGGGTGGACCAACTGGAAAAAAAAACCAAAAACCAAAAACCTAACAACAAACCATTCTTTTTGTCAGAAGCCTGGGGTTGGAGTCCTGCTGCTTCCCAACTTTGTATTCTTGGGCAAGTCAGTTAATGTTTTTGAGCCTTAGTTTCTTTATTTGGTAAAAAAGGGGACAATAGTAGTTTCACTACTGGCCTTATTGGGTGGTTGTGCTTCAGATGAAATAATCTGTGAAAATGTTTTGTAATTTAGGTATAAATCCCTATGTGAATGTAAGGTGATATTCTTGACTCTTAACAACCTTCAACTTTGTTTCTATTTCAGTTCGAATCTGAACATCAATGATGTTCTAGGAAACTATTCATTAACCCTGGTTGATGCCTTGGATACGCTTGCAGTAAGTGGCTAACTTAACTACTTAAAAAAAAATCTCTAAATTAAGGAGTTAGTTTTCAGTGGTACCTTCCTTATTTCTTCCCAAAGGATATCTTAAGCATAAGAAGAAACAGCCAAGATGACAGCCATACGGGGTATCAGTGTTAGATAATGCATTTAGATTGTTGCTCTCTTTGGGAGCTGAGAAAATGGGAAAATAAATAACTGATTTTTCAGAGGGGAGGAGAATATGGAACATGCTAAAAATTAAATAGATTAGATTGGAGAGAGCACCCTTTTCTCTTAGCTTACCTCTTTTGTGCTTTGATAAGAAAGTGCTAAGAAAAGACTTTTCTTCCAGTCTTCAAAATTATATAAGGAACTAGCCCTTGTTAACAGACAAGTGGGCAAACCGTGTGAGCCTGAGTTTGGGCAGGACCATGTCTGAGACTGATGGGATCTATATCCAGGCAGGCTTCACCCTTTTATAGTGATATAGTAGAAGTGATGTTTTAATAGGGGAAAGGAAACAGGTTTCCCACCCTCTCAGCCTATTTTGTGAAGCTGGATTGCCTTCTGACATGGTTTTCAGGAATAGTTTGCCATCTGAGAGCCAAAGTGCCATTTTTTGTTTTATTATTGTTTATGATCAGAAAGTTCTTCTTTTGATCTATCTTACAGTTTAAACTCATTTACTCTTAGGCCGTAGGGGGTGTATTAGTAAGCTTGGGAGAAAGGTGTCCAATATCTAGCCAGGTGGGAGAGATAGGAGAATTTGGAATCCTTTTGTTGAATCATAAGCTCTTCTAGCCTAGTTCTCCCTCTGTCCTCTATAGCTTTTTTCCTCCTCCACTACTATTCACCACCCTTTACTGAATCACTGTAGCCATGACGATTTCAGTTTTGTGTCATTTAATAGTTTTCATAGTTAACTAGCTATGACCCTGAGCTACTCATTATCCAGAGCTTGCTGCCTTCCCTGGGCAGTTACTGCTGACACCAGAGAGACTGATGGTTGGAAAGGGCAACTTGCCAGTGAGAGTTAGGAGAACTTTGGGAGTCAGAGAGTTGAAGTATGTCTCTGTGTGACCACGAGTACAAAGCAACTCTGTTAGCTTTTCTGAGCCTCAGTTTCTCTATTAAAAAACAAAACAAAACAGGGGTGATACCTATTAGAATCTACCTAACAGGTTTATTGTGTATGCTAAATGAGATAATTATGTTGTTGTTGACTGTCCACGACCCCATTTGGGGTTTTCTTGGCCAAGGTGCTGGGGTGGTTTGCCATTTCCTTCTCCAGCTCATTTTCCAGATGAGTAACTGAGGCAGATAAAGTTCAGTGACTTGCCTAGGGTCATACCTAGTAAGGGTCTGAGGCCAGATTTGAACTCGGGAAGATGAGTCTTCCTAACTCCAGGTCCAGCACTCTATCCATTGTGCCTTCTAGCCATAGAGAATTGATTAAATAAGGCATTTTAGGTAGTGTAGTGGATTGATTATAGGGCCTAGATGGAGTCAGGAAGACCTAAGTTCAAAACCCACCTTCGACATCTACTAGCTGTGCCATCCTGAGCAAGTCACTTAACCTCAGTTTCCTCATCTGTAAAATAGGGATGATAGTAGCACTTACCTTCTAGGGTTGTTGTAAGGGTCTAATGAGGTTATGTTTGTGAAGTGCTTACCACCAGGCCTGGCACCTACATGGTAGGTGCTTTGTAAGTGCTAGCTATTATCATGTAAATGTTATGATAATGGAGAGGAAGGGAGAAGGAAATAAACTTTTGAAAGTGATACATTTTAAAGAACTTATTGAACCTTCTCTTCCTCCAACAATGCTCACCCAAAGGCTACTTGCTTTTAGTCCCTTGTGGCTTCTCTTGGCCTTCATTTTCATCATTCTGAAAAGTGATTTATCGGGGAGGTGCCACCCAGAATCTCTCCTGGGATAACTCATCCAGATGAGCAATGTTAACTTTGAGTCCTTGTATTAAGATTGTTCATACTCTAGCCATCTGCATTTGCTTACAAAAGTTATCCCTTTGAAAAAAAATCAAAAAACGCTACTCTGAGTGGCTTTCTTTGTAGAAAATTGGGGCTTTAAATGTTTAAAATAATATTTATTTTGTAGGTGCAGTTTCCCTGTTGAGGTGATTGTGTTAAATAGTCTGTAACCATTATGTTCTAGGAACATACAAATGCATTTTGGGGGAGGTCTCTAGACACTGTTGCAACTTTCCGTGTACTGCATACTCCTGGGACATAGTCCCAAGCCCTGGGAGTTGGGGGGGGCCTGAGTTCTGATTCCAGCCGTGTTCCAGATACTTCCTAGTTTTCTGGGACAATGGACCAAAGCAGTGGCACGGATAATTAAAGATGATTTCTCTTTGATTTTGATGTGGAAAGTGCAGGGAATTGGGAAGCAGGAGGCCTGTGTTCAAATCCTGGCTGCCACTTACTAGTGATGTGACCTTGGACAAGTCACTTCCCTTCTTTGGGGGTCAGCGTTCTCATTTGTAAAATAAGATTAAAATAGATGATCATTGAGGTTCTGTAAAGCAGAGCTGTCAAACTCAGCTCCTTCAGATCTGAGTGCAACCTGAGCCTGATTAAAGAGCAATTGGGAAATGTTTAACAAAATAAATGCAAATACAGTATAACAAACATAATGTTAATTTATGATTTTCTTAGTCAATATGCTTCCACTGAGATTCATTTCAATTTGACTTTGACACCACTGCAGGAATGAAAACTGAGAAAATAATAATTGAAAACTGAGAAAAGAACAGTCATTTTTATGGCTTGGATCAAAGGAAGAGGTGGAAAAGTTTATGGGGGAGAAGGTGGTTGTCTTGAATTAGAAATAGACAGTAATGCAAAACAGTAACAACAACAGTAGCATCTCATATATAATATTTTAAGGTTTACAACCCTGTGGGTTTTAGGATTTACAAAGCACTTGTCTCATCATAACCCTGCATGATTTGTTGTGTTTGTCCTTTGTTCTTGAAGAGGACCATGACATCAGGGAGACGATGACATGACTTGCAATTGACTTTGATTTGAGTGAGAGAGGGCTGTGCAAGGTGACTAGCCTCACTTTCTCCTCCGGAGCCCTCTGGAGATGGCCCAAGATGCTATGGGACACCTTGGCCCTTTTAAGCTAAGGTCTTTTCAGGTTCTCACTTTGAGTGAGGTAATGCCCATTCAGTGAATAGGCCTCTTCAAGAAGTGAGCCAATAATAATAATAATAATAATAATAATAATAATAATAATAATAATAATGATGATGATGATGATGATGATGATAATGATGATGATGATGATGATGATGATGATGATAAAAAGTCAAACAGTCAAACTGGGAGGGGAAGACCCTCAGGGTTGCTGGCCAAAGGAGAAACAGTTACTATTTACATTCGCTGTGAGCCCAGAGGACCCAGAAAAGAATCATTAAGTAGGTGCTTGGCCTGGGACCTGTCGTCCAATCTACAAGCTCCAAACACAAGTATTACTATCCACATTTTATGGAGGAGGAAACTGAAAAAAAGCTGTGTGACTTGTTCCACATTAACCTAAGCCCTCTGACTGTATACCACTGCTCTGCCCACCATACCCCCAGACTCCCGAATACAAGAGAATATGTCTGTAGATTTTTGGGTTTGTAACACCTCTGACATATGTCATGCAGTTCTTAGGAAAGCGAATTAGTTTCCATTCATTTCATACTAACAGGAAATGACTGTTGTGGGTTACTCTTTAAGAAAAGGAGTTAGGTATTTTGATTGATATGCAAAAAACCCAACTAAGCAACCAAACAAAAAAACTCCAAACAACATAAAACACCAAACAGAGTGTTCCTCATGATGTCTGTATGTCTAGATAAAAAGCTTTTAAAAATTCCACCCATTCCTTGAGATGATTTATCACTAAAATCACAAGCCAGATATTTGGCATCCTGTAGACATAACTTAACAAATTTATTTATGAGAAAGGAGCAAGATATTAAGGTTTTTGTTTTGTTTGTAGACTCAATTTGCTAGGCATTTTTGATGGCACTGATCCTGAGTAGGAGGGAATGGATGGGTGGGGAGGGAGAGTCAGTTTGTGCCTTTGTCTTTTGGGAAAGGGACTTGGGTTCCCTGAGAGGATGAATTTGCTCTTTGATAGGACACGTTACATAAATGGGACCTTCACAGTTCTTGGAGTCCTGTTTTTGCCTGGGTGGATTGCAACACCACATCCAGATGCTTTTGTGGGAGTAGTCCAACTGTCTAAAACATCTGCAGCCTCCATTTCAATTTAAGCGGTTTTAATGTTTTGTGTTCCTCTTTCAAGATAATGGGAAATTCATCAGAGTTCCAGAAGGCAGTGAAATTAGTGATCAACACAGTTTCATTTGACAAAGATTCCACAGTCCAAGTCTTTGAGGCTACAATCAGGTAATCATAAACAAGATTGATTGAGGAAATTTTCTTGTGTGTAGAATGAAGGGTGCCCCCAGTTACGAAGTGGGGAATGGGAAGGGAAGGGGCAGGGAACAAGCATTTATAGAGTACCTACTGTGTGCCAGGTACTGTGCTAAGCGCTTTTACAAATATTGTCTCATTTGATCCTCACAGCAACTCTGGGAAGTAGGTACTGTTATTATCCCCATTTTACATTTGGGAAAACTGAGGCAAATAGCAGTTAAGTGACTTGCCCAGGGTCACACAGTGTCTGAGGCTGGATTTGAACTTAAGACTTTCTGACTCTAGGCCCAGTGCTGTAACTACTGTGCTACCTAGTTGCCTCATTTTGAAGTGACCAAAAGGTCACATAACTTAGACAAATGGTAAGCAAAAAGTTTCAAACTAGCTAAATATGGAATAAGAAGAATATTTTTTCTTTGCTTTAAACAAAAGTTTATTTCACTGAAGAATTGCCAGATTTCAATTGTTTCCCTTGATGACCAGTCTTGTTTTCCTTTCATGATAGATAGTAGCTCATTTTTCTTGTGCTTTAAGGCTTACAAAGATATTTCCAGGTGATAGCCCTGGGTAGTTGACAAGTATTAAAATCCCTATTTTGCAGTTAAGGAAATTGAGTTTCAACAGAAGCCAGGTGACACATCTGCTGTTGCCTCAGAGTTCAGACTGGCCCCCAGCCTGTGGCCTTTTGGGCCCTGGCTTTTGTGAGCCTGAGAGCAGATTGTCTATGGCCTTCTTTATCTTTGAGGAGTGCTACATGCCAAGTTGTTATTTTTTAAGTTAAAGTACCCTTTTAATTTTTGTCATAGGAAGACGCATTCTGAGAACTCACTGGGCTAATGGATGTATGGCAGTTAACTCAGAAAACACCTATCTCCTCAGAAGTCACTTTTCCTTATCTCCCCTCACTTTTTTATGGCTACTCTGCCCCAGTGGTAAAGAGGAGACTGACTACATATCAGCCAGACCAGGCTCCCTAGGTGGGCCCTGGGTAATGGAGACTTTTTTTTAGTTGACAGTATAGTTCTGTTTTTCTTGGATGTCTAAATCTTCCCAAAGAGGAGGAATTTAATTTTTGAGGAAATATGTTAGTGCTTCAATGGGGATACACTTTATTGCTCACACTAGGAGTATTTTAATAAAAAAGATTATTATCCTCTACTATTTCTTCCCATTTATTGGGGAACTTTGGCATTTATGTTGACGCTCCCTCAGACTCACTAAATATCCTAATTCCCCAGTCTCCTTAATCCCCATGACCTTGTTAATCCCACAGTCCTTCTCCATGGCTTTATCCCATGTCATTTCACTTTAGCCACCCATGTGGATGGCCATGCCTTGATCTCAGCCTTGCTCAGAAGTGTTGTTCACTTCCTTAACCAAGACCTCTGACATTCCTCTGTCTGTCGCTATCATTTTCTCTTTCCTTGGGCCTCCAGTCTCTTTTCCCCCTGTTGTTTCATCAGGCCATTCCCCCTGCTTTGACTTTACTTTCCTTCCTTCTCTTCGGTTCCTCCCCCCTCCCCCAGTCCTCAATCCACAGTTAGCCTTTTCAGTTCCACACTATCACCAGCTCCTAAGTCTCTCTACCCCTTGTCTTATTGCTTCTCATCCCTTGCCACATCCCTGCCCTGGGACTCCGACTATCTACTTCCTCTGCTCCTACTTGTAATGTGCTGGTGAACAGAGCTGGAGGAAATGACACACCTTGGTTCATTTGGGTAGATTATTAATTTATGTAACCCAGCTTCATCTCAGCCCTCACTGCAGCAAGGTGGTCCTTTTATCCTTCCCTAATTTGATTTTCTGTCTCACTTCTTTCAAGCTATTCCAGGCCTTCTCTTGCTTCTCATGGTATCCACTCTGACCTTTCCTCCATTCCTCTCTCCCCTCCTGTGAGTTAATCATCCCCTTTCTCTAATGGTATCTTCAACTTGTGTCCTTCTCCATGGCCTTCAAACCTCCCCAAGTCTTCCCCCACCTTGGAAAACCTTCACTAGTCCTTAAACACCTTAACTGTCCCCTAAAGTTATTGTTCCATATCCTTCTTCCTTTTCCTGATCAGATTCCTAGGAAGAAAGCTGTCTATGTTTGTGGCCTCCACGTCTGCTCTCACTTATTTCTCAACGGCCCTTTGTAACCTGGCTTCCAACTTCAAAACTCGGTTGAAATGACTTATTCTGTTTTCTGTGATCTGTGAATTGCCAAATCTGATGACTTCTTCTAAGTCCTCATTCTGTTTGACCTATTTGCTACATTTGACGAAAGTGTTGACAAGCCCTGTTCTGACTACCGCTTCTTCTTTAGAATTTCATCCCGCTCTTTACTACTCGTTGTTTTTCTGCCCATGTGATTTTTTCTTCTTCGTCTCTTTTGCTAATTTTTCTTCTATATCTTGCCTCTTGTTTGTGTACCCCAAGGTCTGTCCTAAACCCTCTTTTCCTGCCATTCTCCTGCCATACTTTCTTGTATTATAACATCCTTAGCTCCCATGAGTTTGACTGTCTTCTCTATGTAGCTGACTCCCAGATAAATAGATCCAGTCTTAGTCTCTCCCCTGAGCTTCAGGCCTTCGTCAGTAATTGCCAGCTGGACATTTCAGACTGGATGTCCCAAAGACATCTTAGACTCAACGTGTTCAAAACTAAACTCGTTAACTTTCCTCTTAAACTATCACTTTTTCCAGACTTCCCTGTTTCTGTCAAGGACACCACCATCCTTCCAGTCTTCCAGGTTTGTCATCTTAGCGTTAATCCTCAACTTCTCACTTTTCCACATATTCATTCAGTTATCAGATCTTGCCATTCCTGCTGTACAAGCCTCTCCCCTCTGATCCATTCCCTCCACTCACAGTTGTCACCCTCATCGTGACTCATCTAGTTTGTGGCAGTAGCCATCTGATTGGTTTTCCTGCCTCAAGCCCCCCCCCCCCCTGCTTCTTCCTGTCCATGCCACTCCCTTATTCTCTTTACTCCAGTGGCTCCATTTTACTCCCAGGATGAATAGAAATTCCTCTTTTTGGCTTTTAAAGCCCTTCACAGCCTGACCCTAACCTGTGTTTCTAGCTTCATTAGACATTATTTCATTTTCCCCACTCCAGGCAAACTGACCTTTATAGACAGTATTCTGTCTCCTAGCCCTACGCTGTCTTCCATGCCTGGAGTGCCCTTCCCCCCTCCCTTCTGCCCTGTATAATCAGTCTCTCTTCCTTCAAGGCCCAGCTCAAGCACAACCTCTAGGTGAAGCCCTTCTTGATACACCCTCCCTCCCATCTAAGCACTTTGTGTTTATTTGTATTTCTTTCTATTTATTCTTGACATACTTTTGTATGTATTTATTGTCCCTCCCCCACCCCCCTTAGATTGAAAGCTCCTTGTGAGCAGGGATTGTTTCATTCTTTATATTTGTAATTCTGATACCTAGCACTGTGCCTGGAGTGTAGTCACTTAAATGCTTGTTGTTTGCTTCTGTGAATAATTGGAATCTATAAGGTGGTCAATGTCATTTGTATAAATGATCAGGATTATCAAGGCACCTTGTATCCTTTGAAGTGATCTACCCATGAAACAGCTCTTCTCCACTTGAATGACACAGATCTGCAAGAATGTATTGTGTCTCATTAGGCCTGAAATGGATGTCCAGAGGAGGTGGCCAAGTGCATTCCTCTGACTCCAGGTCACACCCTGCACCTATTCTATAAAAAATACAGTCTTCTGCCAGTCTGATTTCACCTTGGGAGGGTAGACATTATCCAGTCTAACTACTTTATTTTTACAGATAATGAAACTGTGGTCTAATTCCTTTGGGTTATAAGTATATTTACATGTATAAGATGACTTTTTTTTCCCTTATTCACAATAGGGTCCTTGGAAGTCTCCTGTCTGCCCATAGAATAATAACTGACTCCAAACAGCCCTTTGGTGACATGACAATTAAGGATTATGATAATGAATTGTTGCATATGGCTCGGGATCTGGCATTGAGATTGCTCCCTGCCTTTGAAAATACAAAAACTGGAATTCCCTATCCTCGGGTAGGCGACCCTCTTTGCATTGGGTCTTCAGACTTTCCATGTAATATAACATTCTTTCTACTCTTTGAAAACCTCTTTTTTTTTTCCATGGGGGGTGGTGGTGGTGGTTGTAGAGAGCGGAGTAAGGGAATGGAATAGTTTAGGGAATAATACATCTGGGAGATTTTTCCACCAGTGCTATGGTTTAAGTTTGCCTGTGTTGCCCTGTGGATGTCCCTTAATCATTTCATATGACTGAGTATCTTTCACTAGATAAAGGTCTCCTGGGTTAGGGATCTTGATTTCATTTTCTCCTTGTTCTAGACTAGATCCTCAGCATACTCCTGCACACATTAGGTTCTAGGTAAAGGTTGCTGAGTAAGTACAAAAGGTTATAGATTTAGAACTGAGGTTAGAGGCCATCTGGTCTGACTTCCTCCTTTTACAGATGTGGAAACTAAGGCCTTAAGGGTAGTTTCTTTCAAATGTGGCTTCCACAGTCCAGCAGATCCACTGCCTCCCTGCTGATTTAAATATGAGAACTCTCCTTGTAGCATCACTGCTCTGAGCTGCTTCCTCTGGGGGGGAGGGGTGCAAGTCAGGCCCTGAGGCTGTAAGGAGAACTGCTAGAGGCTGGAGCCTGGCTGATGATGAAATGAAGTGTTGGAGGTAAATGGAACTGAGTTCAAAGCATGGCAGTAACACCCTGTTTGTGTGTTACTTTGTGATTTTATAGCTCCTCCAGGGTCCTGGAACCACTGTAGCTATGGAAATCCCTCAGGTCTGGAGTGATGTAGTTTAGCTAGTGGCGCTGGACCATTCCCCCAGCCTCTAGACGTCTAGAGGTTCCTTTTCGGAACCTCTCCCTGGGTCACATAAATGTTGATTGTGCTTTGTACATCCTCCTAGTGATTGTCCCACTCATTTGACCTGGGGCTGTAGGTAAGTGTTCCTGGAAAAGTCTGGAGGAGTTCAGGATTCCTGTGAAATGAAAACTTGACCTGCTAAGCTGATGCTTTGGCAAGCAGTTTATTAGCAGGGTGAGGTCAGGGGAGGAGGAAGGGACCCAGGGCTGGAGTCTGGGTACAGGCAACAAGGATAGAAATAGCCAAAGTTACATGGTCATACTTGCAGGGAAAGGGGTGCAGTCATGGGTGATACCAAGCCATCTCCTTCTCTGGGGATGCCCATGATCTCCAGGGCCCATGATCTCAGGTGGCTGACCCAGCTGCAAAGAGGGTGCTCTCCAGTAGGGCTAAGAATAGCTCAGCCCCTCTCCATGACTAGGTACAAACATACCAAGAATACCCCTTTATGCAAAGTGAGGTGGGTTTACCAGACCTGGGTAGAAGATGCAGGTGGGTGCCAGGGACACGTGATCCCACAAAGGATTCAGGGTTTCTTCCTAACTGTCGCACTGTGGGCACTGACTTTGCTGAGAGCTGCTTGGTATGCAGAGACTGCGGTTTTAGGAGGCCGTGCAGGTGGATTCCAGGGACACGTAGCTTAGCAGGGTCAGGGCCTTCTAGTAATCTTCCGTCGCCCCTTGACGATCTTGTTGGTGGCCTTGTGCTTTTCTGTCTCCAGGTGAATCTCAAGAGCGGGGTGCCCCCTGACGGCAGCAATGAGACTTGCACCGCCGGCGCCGGCTCCCTGCTGGTGGAGTTTGGGATTCTGAGCCGGCTGCTGGGGGACTCGACCTTTGAGTGGGTGGCTAGGCGAGCAGTGAAGGCCCTTTGGAACCTGCGCAGCAATGACACGGGTCTCCTAGGTATGGCGGCTGCTCTTCCTTCCCTCTTCTGCTTTGACTTCCTCATTCTCTGCACCTCTTGCTTCTCTTTCTCTCTGCACCTCCTCCTCTGACCATGGGATCTCAGGAGTGAGGATCCCTTAGGGTTCCCCTTTGGTTCCTTTCCACTTGAACTTTTGCCTTGAGTGTGTCTGGGAGATGTGTGAGGACTCTCTTCTGAAGTGATGTCTCTCTGAGCACATTCCTTTTAAAAAATAAATCACAATGACTCATATAAATGAGGACACTTTAAAAAGAAGTGTCTCTGAGAGAATTTTCTGCACGTTCAAAATTAGGTTTTAAACATATACTGGCAGTGGCAGGGGTGTCTCCCTCTGGGAAAAAACCCAGTCCTCAAGTACTAGACTGAATTAAACCTGAAGGGTGTGTGTGTGTGTGTGTGTGTGTGTGTGTGTGTGTATTTTGTAGTCTAAGAGCTCAAGGTAGACTTTTGAAATGGGTTTCATTTCTAATGTTATGCTTTGCATTGTAAAAATTTCTCAAGTATATAGTCTTTGTCATCCTTGACTGGATACTTGTGAACCACAGCTAATCACTGAAAAAGAAGTAGTCACCTCTTGTGCTTCATAATAGTCCAGATAGTCCCCAGTTGTACTTATGTCATCTGATTGGCATAGCCTGATGTCACAGATGATCTGGTACCTTTCTTTTGCTCCGAAGAGTTGAGAATTAGGGCTGTAACTCATAGGAAGCTCAGGTCTAGGTTTAAAATTGTGGTGGACCTCAGATGCCATTTGGTTTGAGTAGATAAAGAAATTGAGTTCCAGAGAAGTTGTGATTTGCCCCAGGTTACGCAAGTAGCAGAGCTAGTTTTTAAACCTAGGTCCTTTTATTCCCAATTCAGCGTTCGTTTCCCTGTGATGTGCTGAATTAAGATTTAACAGCCAACGTTTCCCCCTTCTCTCGCTGGCCACCAATTAGGGTTACCGCTGATGGGTCAGATGGCAGTGTGTGATTGAGAGATGGAAGAGCTGGATAGTGGAGCCTTGAAACGTCCTATGTTGTGTCTCTTCTCAGGGAATGTCGTGAACATCCAAACAGGCCACTGGGTTGGGAAGCAGAGTGGCCTTGGTGCTGGGTCGGATTCCTTCTATGAATACCTCTTGAAATCTTACATCCTCTTTGGAGAAGATGGTGACCTGGAGATGTTTAATGCTGCCTATCGGAGTATCCAGAGCTATTTAAGAAGAGGGTATGTGTATCTAATGCCCAATTCTTTTTGGCCTTTGCAAAAACAATTGAGAGGTGTTCTGAAATTGCCTTGCAGATCTTAAGCTGTTTGCCTTCTTTCCTCCCCTTGCCCACCGCCTTCCCTTCTGTTTCTCTTTCCTGTTGCCCAGCCCCTTCCAGCGTGCTCATCCTTTTCCCCTTCCTTTTCCTTTTCCCCCTTCCCTTTCTCTTTCCCCTTCCTTTTCCCCCTTCCCTTTCTCTTTCCCCTTCCCCTTTTCCTTTTCCCCTTCCCTTTCTCTTTCCCCTTCCTTTTCCTTTTCCCCCTTCCCTTTCTCTTTCCCTTCCTTTTCCTTTTCCCCCTTCCCTTTCTCTTTCTCCTTCCTTTTCCTTTTCCCCCTTCCCTTTCTCTTTCCCCTTCCCCTTTTCCTTCATCCCCTCTTTCCTCACTTCCTTCCATTTCCATACTTGACACCCCTTTCAGTCTTTTTGCTTTTGTGCTGCTGAAGATTAGTCCAGGTAATTCCCATTGCTTATCTAGGTGACCTGGCTTGTTTTCTCTTTCTGTACTACACAGTTACTTATCACTTATTATATGGGTCCAGCAGGTCAGGAGATTATTGCTGTGGAGGACTTAGCTGACTTGCAGTATTTATACAGTACTTAGTGCTGTTCCTGGCTCATGGTCGGTGCTGTATCACTGCTTATTCCCTTCCCCTTCCCTTGTCCATGCTGTAGTGACTTTCTTCCTGGATTCCTTCTTCTTGGCCACATATTTCATTTTGTCTGGACCCTGGCTGACTCCACAGCCTGTGCTGTGTGGTGCTTAAGGTTTTCTTGGTCTTATAGTGTGTTTATCTTTGGCCTTAATAGCAGCTCCCTCTTAAATGACTGTATTTGGAGGTAGGATATGATACCATAAAAGACTAAAATGGTAATTTTTGTTTGTGGAAGGGAAAAAATTGGAAAATAAACTTGAGCTTTGCTTATGTAATCAGAGAATCATAGTGTTTCAGAGTTGGAAGGGATTTTAGTGATGATATCGTCCCTTCCCCCCATTTTATAGATGAAGAAATTAAGTGACCTAAAGATGTGGAATTACTTTCTCAAGGTCACAAACTTAATTTGTTCAGGAACCTGAACCATATCCCAGGTTTTCTGACTCGAGTCTAGGGTGCCACACAGCTCCCAGAGCATATTCTTTGGGTCCATGCCATGGGGCCTGGATGGTTACATTCAATTCGGGAAGCATTTATTAGGTATATATGGTAGGTCCTCTTTCAACTCTAGAATTTTTAGATTTGAGGAAACTGAGATTCAGAGAAGCCATGACTGGCTCCAGATCATACCACTACTTAATGGTAGTCCCAGAGCTAGAACCCCATGCCTCCCTAGAAGAGAACCTGTCTTCCTTGAACTTCAATAACCAAGCCTCCTTGGGTGAAGTCCAATTTGGATTTGCATTATACTGAATTCTTTTCTCTAGAGAAAGTGATTATAACCAGGTATGAAAGTTACCTTCAAAAGGATGTGTTTTTGAAAGGAAAGTAGTAGATAAGTGAACTTCAACATTGTGTCCCTTTCAGAAATTGTAGGGCCTATTAAAGCCCTTTCTGCTTTGTTTAATTTTGTAGCCGGGAAGCTTGTAATGAAGGTGAAGGAGACCCTCGCTGTATGTGAATGTCAACATGTTCAGTGGCCATCTGATGAATACCTGGATTGACTCTCTGCAGGCGTTTTTCCCTGGATTACAGGTGGGTTTGTGTTAACTTCCTTAGGAAAAGAAGGTAATGCCGCCTTCTGGAGTAGTGAATGCTCCTTGTTTTGGTTTTGTCCTTATTTCTTGGACTGATTTGATGCCCCAAGCAGGAAAATAACCTTGAAATTGTTTAGGTCCTGGTTAGGGTCTGTTTTTCTAACCTTTATAGCCAATAGCTTGTACCTAAGAACAAGTCAGAGCTGGAGTAACAAAGCTTTGTTCTCAAAGACAATCAAGGATATCACAAGGGTGATGTTTTGACTTGCAAGTGAAATGGATTCAAGTGAGGCAGAACCATGCAAAGTCATCAGACTCTCTCTCTTTCTTCTCCAGAGTCATTGAAGTCCAATGGCAAGACATTAGTGGCGTGAGATGCAGTGGGTGACCTTGGCCTTTCTAGATTAAGGTCTTTCCCAGGCCTCAGTTTGTCTGAGGCAGTGCCCTTACAGTGACTAAGGGTTTGGAAGCTAATATTTCGCAGGTTCAACTTGGAGTGGGGGAAGGTTAAAAATGTTTTTTATGAATTGTTTTCTCTCAAATGTAGCTGGATCTTTAGTTGCACCAGTGGAAAAGGATAAATATAGATAACATCAGCCAGGTAAACCAAAAGTTTCTATTTGTCTCTGAAGTAATTTGGACATTCCATGCTTGGCTCTGATGCTATCCTCATGACTCCTTCCCATCTTAGCTCTATAGTTCTGGCAGCTGGACTGGGGCACAGGAGAAGCTGTAGCTCTTGCAGGGCATTCACAGAATAGATAGTTAAAGAATGAGAGCTGGGTCCGGCTCTTCTGTTTTGGGTGAGACAGAATTGGACATCATTTAAAGTTCAGTTGATCTAATTTGCCAGACTCCTTTCAGTGTGTTTGGGGGCCGAGAGGAGACCTGAGAATTTCCAGAGTATATAAGGTAATGAAATCTGGATAACCAGATTTACCAGATCTTTGGTCATATTGTCATTGGTATGTAAACATTGTGAGATTGCGCCAGCTTCAGTACCTTCTTCACAGAAGACAAGAGTTTTTGGTGCTCCCCTCTGACGGGCAATTCACAAGGGCATACTCAGTCTTCAGATATTTGGAGTACTTTGGCTTGTAGGCAGGGTCACTGGGAATGATGGGTGAATGGTAAAGGAAGGATTGAAGCACTCTAGCTGCCGCATAAGGGTGGTTGTAAGTTACCTGTCCCTGGGAGTGGTCAGCTGAGATGAGAAGGCTACTTGTCAGGGAGGCCCTAGAAGCCTCTATTGGACAGTAGGGTGGACAGTGTGGCTTCTATGATTCCTTTCAATGCTTGAGATTCTCTGACTAATGCTACCTATTAATTAATTAAACAAGCATTTATTAAGCACTTGCTATGAGCCAGAAATGTATTTGTTCTTGTTCTGCTTGAAAACACTGAGTTCCTTTTAAGGTAGGTTTTGCTTTGTCGTCCTTGGTTTTCAGTGGCCAGCCTATCCAAGACGGTCCCCCTTGTCCCTGTCAGTTTGCGCTGGATCTCTAATCTCACCTGTAGCGTAGTGGATCTCAGGGAGACTTGGGATTGAGTCCCACTCCAACACAGGCTGTCATTGTCACCCGGGATAAGTTGCTGAACCCCTCAGTGCTCCAGAGGACTCTCTAAGAGGCCAGTTTTGGAGCCGGTGCATATCTGCAGTGATTGGTGGAGGGAGTTTCTCACTGGGAGCTCTGTCCACAGAGGAGGTCACAGGTCTAGTTAACAATAACAAAAGATGTCTGTGTGGGTTTGCCTGTTTCCAGGACCATCTTGACCCCGGACCTCCTCGGGTTATCCCAAGCAATTCTTGTTCCTGTCTTTCTGCAGATCCTCTGTAGAGGATCCATTCAGCTTGCCAGAAGTCTTCAGGTTTCTTTTCTACTGTCCAGTTCAGTCTTTGGGTCATGAGTCAGCTGTCCCTCATTTGCAGTGCATGGCCAGCCTGCTTCCTTATCCGTTCATAGGGGTCCTTGATGAAGTCTTCTGTTGCTACATCTGAGAAGCAAGTCTTTGTTGGTGATGTGCTGTCTCTGCTTGTCTTTAAAGCACATAGTGACGCATCTGTCTCTCTTTGGAAGCTCTTTGCAGCTGGAATGCCCCCAGCTTCCAGGGAGGCTTGAGAGGAGGCAGCTTTGTGTAGACAGCTCAGAGAATCAACTGTGGTAAAGCCGTCTGTCACCAGGGAGCAACCAGGCACAGAAGCCAGATAGCATCTTAGTTCCTCCTTAGTCCAGAAGAGCAAGCTTCCCACTATGACTTTCTCATTGTTTGAAATGACCCCCTCCCTCCATGGCTGGTGCTCTCACTTTCAGATAAGCCCAAAAATGTACTCTACAGGCTGATTTGAAGTAAATTTTGAATTCTTCCAGTAACAGTCAATTGAGATGCTTCTCCATTCATTTATAGGACCTCTGAAAACCTCCTGCCCTCTCTGTTTGAAGCTCTTTAACGAAATGAGGATGCATAGGCCTCATCATTCTGTTTGCTCAGATGTCCAGCCTAGCTTCCTCTCTGGGAACATGTCTCCAGCCATGTCTGTAGATAAGCTACAGCAAAGTTTATGGAGTAGAAAATCATTCATGTTGAATTGGAGTGAAGAGCTTTCTCCTCGGGGGAAGTGACCATCAAGTTATTCTTTAATCTTTTCTGTAGGTATTAATAGGGGATGTGGAAGATGCCATCTGCCTTCACGCCTTTTATTATGCCATCTGGAAGCGATATGGTGCCCTCCCAGAGCGGTACAACTGGCAACTACAGGCCCCTGATGTCCTCTTTTACCCTTTGAGGCCAGAGCTGGTGGAGTCAACCTATCTCCTTTACCAGGTATGCAAGTTCATTTGAGAGTGGGAGAAAAAAATGCATGTGTGTTATGTGTTCACAGTTACATATCTGTCTAGTAGACATGTAAAAGTATTACCTAAATATGTATGGTCTAGCCTGGGGTTTTGTTTGTTTAGGAAACTCCCTCTATGAATGCTCTGTGTGTTATCATCTTAGTTAGAGGTTAAGTGACTGCATTAAGTCCAGGGTTATATAACGCGTGTATATATGTGTGTGTGTGTGTGTGTGTGTGTTTGTAAGTAAATATGTAGTAAATATTTGCGGTATGATATATAAAAAATGTGATATACAACATTATTATATAATATATAATTTTATATAATTTTATATATTTATAATATGGGAATATATTTTATAATATAGGATTATATTTCCTATATGATTACATATGCATATATGTGTGTCCGTGTGCATGTATATGTGTGAATATACACATAAATATGTATGTATATATGTATATGTATGTGTGCCTATATGTACACACACACACGCACACACATGTGTATATATATAGAAAGAGAGAGAGAATGAGAACGAACAAGAACAGTGTATTGTAGTGGATGGAGTGTTGGACTTGGAATCAGAAAGACCTAGGTTCAAATGTAGCCCCTGAAACATAGACTTTTTGGCCCTTGGCAAATTAACCTTTGTGTGTCTTACATAACTCTCTGGAGCTTAACTGGGTAGATGGAGAGTTCCTCTGATAGAACTAGAGACCTGTCATGTATTTACATGTATGTGTGTTTATACATATATATGTATCGCAATATAAATACATATATCCATAAATGTTTACAGAGCACCATGTGTTTAACATGGAAATTTGGCCCTCAGCAAATATAGTAGGCAGAATAAAAAAACCCCTACATTATTGTATTCTAACATGAGATAGGTATTCAGACAGAGAAAACTCTGCTTTCTTGTCCTTGCTTATAAAGGAATCCTAGAGGATTCCTGTTTGATGTTTTCATTTGGATCTTTTTTTCTTTTATTAAAAGTTATTGACTTTTTTGTTTTAACATCGCCTAAATTTCCCCTTTAAACCTCTTCTCCCTGTCCCAGAGAACCATCTTGTATAACATTTTTTTAAAGGAAAAGAGAAAAAAGAATCAGCAAGAAAAATCAATACATTTAAAAAATATGAAAACACGTGCAGTGTTCCACACCCGTCATAGTACATGTAATGTGTATTGTGCAAAGTAATTCCACATTTGCAAAGTAATGAGGGAAGATATCTTTTCATTTCATTTTGGGTGCTATTGCCTAGTCTTTGTAATTTTGTGACATTCGTCTTACATTGGTTTACGATTGTTGTTCTTCCCAGTTTGCATTGTTGTAGTCATTGTGTACATTGTTTCCTTGGTTCAGTTTATGTCACCCATCATCAATTCATATAAGTCATTCTGTGCTTCTGTATTTATCACATTTGTCATTTCTTACAGTGCAATAACATTCTATTACATCCCTAGTTGGTGGGCATCCACTTTGTTTCTAATTCTTTGTTGCCACAAAAAGTGATGCTATATGTGAATACTTTGTGTTTTATCGATGACCTTCTTGGGAAGTATGCCTAATAGTAGAATCTTTGGGTTAAATTAAACATGTAACCATTTTGCATAATATCAAATGACTTTCCAGCATGGTTGTACTAATTCAGAGCTCACCAGCAATACATTAGTGTGTCTCTGTGTACAAACCCTCTCATATACAATAGGGAACCTTATCTAAAGATAGATACAGTGTTTTTTTGGAAATTGTTACATTGTTGCCGAGAGTGAAGTCTTCCTTATGAAATGTCACTCTCTGCCACAGTTTCAATCCAGTGTGCCTTTTCCTGAGGATACATACTTTTTAAAAGCTGGCTGCCTAAGCAGGAGAGAAAGTGAGCCTGAGGTTGGTTCAGGTTCAGCCAACAGCACCTGTGGAATCCTGGCTGTTCTTCCCTGGTGGAAGAAAGAGGGAGGGAAGTCAAGGAAGAGGAAAGGGTAATGATTGGTGTAATGGTTTGGGGTAGGGATGAGGAATCTGTGGCCTTGAGGCCACATGTGACCCTCTAGGTCCTCAAGTTGCAGCCCTTTGAATCCAAACTTCACAGAACAAATCCCCTTAATAAAAGGATTTGTTCTCTCAAGTTTGGGTTCAGTCAGAAGACTGCACTTGAGGACCTAGAGGGCCTTGAGGCCACAGGTTCCCCACCCCTGGTTTGGGGTATCAATTAATTAACAGAAAGAAAAGCAATCTTAATTTTTTAAGGTAAGCACACCAATTTCCTCATTTTTTGAAGCTTTTTTAAAAAAATAACATCTGTAATAAGTAAAAAGTGAAGGTATACATTTTTAACTGATAGTTTTGGCATTGGTCTATTTTTTCCTCTTTTGTGTCATTTTTATTGCCTTTTAGCTTTTAGATCTTTTCTCTCCATTCTCTTTCTTGTTTTACCCACTTCCTCATTTCTGTTCTTAACTTTTTCCAACTTAAACCATGGTCCAGTATATCCATGACATTTTAAAAACGGCATTTCTCAAATTCTTTACCTACAACTTCTGGGTCTGTATGATTTTACAACAGCAGAGATACCATATTTGACACTAATGACACATGCATCTGAATTCAATAGGACCTTTGATTTGCAACTTAAATGACTAGAAAAATTAACTGCTTGTTGCTTGGTATAAATATAGTAATTTATTAGTGAAAGCACTCAACCAGATGTGGCCAGGAAGCTTTTTCTGGAAACTACTGAGGAAATGTTGAGGATGAGATCATCTCTAAGATCTCCTGACTCCAGAGTCAGTGATTCTGAGTTCTAGCAGAACCTGGTTTTAAGCTTTCTTGGAAGGCCTGGTTCCTGTTGTCAGCAGAGCTTGATTCTGGCCTTTTTTGGGGGGTGGTACCTGGGGGAGAGGTGGAGGCAAAAAGTGTTCTGTCTGCTTGTTGTTGACCCAGTTATTTAAAGAGAAGTAGAACCTGGGTTTGGCCTTTAAGGTAATGAAAGCCCGGCTCCTGATGTTGCCTTATGCTAGGTGAGGAGTGAGTATTTGAGCATTGTTGTGTTTTTTATCTTTGACCCTGACCTTGTGCTCTCCATAGAGCACAAGTCAATATCCCTGGAGCAAGATGTTCTGAGACCGTTGAAAACTTAAGCAAAACAGACTATAGATGTGGGTTATGGTGATATATAAAAAATGAGTTTTCCCTAATTCTTTCGTATTTTTGAAGTACCCCAAAACATTCATTTTGCTCTGTGTCTACCTTCCTTTGGTCAGTATTAGTATCTCCCTACTCAGTGCTCTAAGCTATCTGATATATGTTTTGAGGTGGTTTTTCTATTTCTTTTGCTAGATTATGTTCCTTTTATTTTACTTTATTTTTTGTTCTTTTTAGGCAACCAAGAATCCCTTTTACCTCCATGTAGGAATGGATATTCTTCAGAGCCTGGAAAAGTATACAAAAGTCAAGTCAGTTTTGAAGTTCCTTCCTTCTTCTTTGTTGGCCACTTTTTGGCCCTGTTTTGAGTTGTTCTGTGAAATGTTGTTTTATATTGCATTTGGAAATAAAAGGGGAGGCAGGCAGTGTCTGTGAAAGAGCATAGCATTAGGGGTTGGAAGGCCTGGGTTCTAATATAGGCTCCACAATCAACCAGTGTTGTGACCTTGGACAAGTCTGGGCTTCAGTTTTTTCTCTTTAATGTGAGTCTGTTGGCCTCGAAGGTACTTTCCAACTCTAAGATCCCATGGTGTAAAGTCTCCAGATCTAGTTTGTAAACTTTCAAACTGCAGTGACTCTTGCTGTTTCTTGGTGGTGACTTTGCAAGTTATAACCTGCCACCACTTATAGCCTAATTGCTGTTCTTCAATCAAATTCTGGATGTCTTTAAAAAAAATTCTTAAAAGTCTTTTGTTACTACAGTTAAGAATTGAGGCCCAAAATGAAACAGGGTCTTGTCTATATTGCAGAACACTCCATTGGCATTAGATTAGCCCATTAGTATATTTACTGCCCTTTCAAAACAAGAGTAGAGAGCATTGAAGCCCATGTGGTTGTCTATGTGGAGTTTGGTTATTAGTATCTTAGAAGACCATATCTAGGAAGTTTATTTTGCTGGTTAGGTAGAGAAGACTTTTTAGAATTAAAAGCACCAATTCTTTTGCAGATGTGGTTATGCTACATTACATCATGTCATAGACAAATCAAAAGAGGACCGGATGGAAAGTTTCTTTCTGAGTGAGACCTGTAAATACTTGTATCTGGTATGTATTGTATTCAAAAGTGATTCACTCAATGATAACCTTTTCAATAAATCTTAGAGCAGTGTTGATAACATTTATTTAGTTCCTGGCCTATCTATAAACATGCTGGGGGTCATACACTCTGGCCATCCATTCATCCAGATATATTTTCTACCCTATAACTCTTCCTCCTCCCTTGTTTCCTCCCATACGGCATAATAGTAGTTAGCATTTATGTAATGCTTTAAACTTTAAAGCACAGTGCTTTATAAATATTACCTCATTTTATCCTCACAACAACCCTGGGAAAAAGGTATTGTTTTTATCCCCATTTTACAGAAAGGAAACTGAGATTTGCTGAAGATCACACAGCTAGTGAGTGGTTAAGTCAGAGGTAGGATTTGAACACACACACACACACACACACACACACACACACACACACACACACACACACACACACACACCCCTTCTCTCTTCTTTCCACCATGGTTGCCACCATCTCCACTCCCATCCTTATTTAAAAAAAAATCATTAAAGAAGAGTGAGGAAATCCAGGATCACACACACACACACACACACACACACACACACACACACACACACACACCCAAGAATGTCTTCACAATATAACAGTGTTACAGTCCCTTGCTTGAGAAACAGGAACTGAGACCAGGGTTCAGGGGAATTAGATAGCAGTGGCTCTTCCTGTGTTGTGTCTTTACATGTGAGCAAGTGAGATGCCCTGAAAAGAACCCTGGGTTCAGGAGATCTGAGGCCAACTGTGAGTGCTGGCCCTTAGCTACCCATATAGCCATGACAGCTTAAAAAAAGAAACACCTCCCCTCCACCCCCCCACGTACACACACATATCCACCCCCACACACATACACCACCCCCACGTACGTACGTACACGCACACCCACGTACACACGTGTACACACACATACATACTTGTGAATTAAACTCACGGGGCCAAGGTTTTGGAAAACTAGGTTCTAGTTCTGGCTCTGCCACAAATTAACCTGATCATCTTAACCAAATGGCTTCTCTTTTCTGAGTCTCTAGTTTCTTAATCAGTTCGGTGAGTTAATGCGCTATAATGACAGAATCGTCATGTTGGAGGCTTTCCTTTTCTCTATGCCTTGAACACATGCCTTTTTCCTCTTCTGGAATCTTTCCAGCAATCTTCCCCTTCCTCTCACTTAATACTTTTAAAAACATTTCCTTTATTGGGCTCTTCTCATAACCTGCAATATACTATGGTTTCTCTAATCCTAAAAAGTCTTCCTTTGGCCCTTCTGTCACAATCTAACTTGTCTGTCTTCCTCTTACTGCTAAGCTTCTGGGAAAAGGATCTCTCTTTCTGATGCTTTGTGTTCCTCCACACTTTAAAATCTGCTTTATGTGCCCGTCTGTCCTGCAAAGGTTGCCAGTTGCCCAATCCTAATGACTTTCCCTGAGTCTTTATCCTTATTGACCTCTTGGCAGCCTTTGACACTGGCCGCTCTCTCTTCTTCGATGCTCCTTCCTCTTGATTCTCCTTTGCTGCCTGTCCTGCTCCCTTTTGGTGTGTGCATTCTCCAGTAAGTCCTGAAGACATAGTTTGGGGTAATGGTTAAGAGCACTTCATTTGGGTTCTCTGTGACCTTGGCCAGGCCACTTTCCTCTTTGGTCCTCAATTTCCTGTCATCTGAATTGAGGGGCTTGATCCATATGACCTCCAAGATTGCTTCCAGTGCTAAATTATGTACCTGTACCCTCTTTTTCTCCCCTCCTCTCCCTTGGCAATTTTGGCACTCCCATGGCTTCTTAACCTTAACATCTAATTTCCAAATTAGATCATCACCTGAGCTCTGGACCCCTACCATCAGTGACATACATCTCAATCTGGTTGTCCTTTGGACATGTCCACAATCATGCTTATCTTTCCCCATAAGCCTATTAATCCTTACCATGTGATCATTTCTGTCACTATACTGCCCAGTTTCCCGTGTTGAAAACCTTGGTGTTATCTTTTACTTTTTCCTTTCCCTTACCTCTTTTCTGTAATTGGTTACTAGGTCATGTGGATTCTGTCTCTGAAATAGCTTGCATGCCTCTCTTCCTCTATGTTCGCATTGCTGCTGCCAGAATGTAGGCTATCATTACCACCTGCTTACACTATTGCAGCAACCACCTAATCATCTGTCCTAGCTCTATTGCTTCTCTTGGTAAAACCCTTTGTCAGTTGGTTGTCAAATTTACCTTCCCTCTGCATAAATATGATCATGCTACTCCTTTGTGCAAAGCCCTTCGTTGGCTCCTAATTGCCAACGACCACTTCACTTTTCCTGCTTTCTTTTTTTCCTGCTCTCCTCTTTATTCTACACTCTTAACTGGACTGAACAACTTGATATAAGCTCCTGGTATTGTTTCACCTCTATGTCTTTGCTTATGGTATCCTGTAGGCTCTTGCTGCACATCCTATGTGCACAAATTAATTCAACTGTCTCCTTTAAGGAGTCTTCCCTTTTATTCATCTTTTCCCATTTCCTTTCCAAATTAGGCAGCATTGATCTTTTCCTTCCTCAGACTTCATATGGCACTTTGCTTGCTACCTCTGTGATGTAGTTAGTATTAGCCAGCCTTTGTTGTAGGTGTGTGTGTGTGTGTGTGTGTGTGTGTGTGTGTGTGTGTGTGTGTGTGTGTGTAGGGGAGCTCTCCATTAACCGAATCATGACATCACCTAGGACCTAGTACAGCTCTTGGTTCACAGGGACCTATAAGTGTTTGTTGAGCTGAATTAAACTTGAAATCACTTCCATTGCTAAGATTTTCTGATTCTGTGAGTTCTGACTCTCACTCTTGGTCAAACTGATCACCTTCAGTGAAGTCCTCATGATCATCCAGCATGTCATGTTACCCTCTCCTCCTTTGGTGTGACCAACTCCAGATTGTTTTCCCTTTCTATTATAAAACTACAGCTTAACAGCTGTCACATTCAGTGGTACATTTTTATTGCTACTATCCTTTCCTAAAAGCCCCTTTTCTTTATAGTGATTGTTGAGGGGAGGAACTCTGCACCTAAGTCAGTTCTGGGGTTGTGACTTTCTGCCTGAGGATTGCATCATGTTTTTTTCCCTTCCCAGTTGTTTGATGAAGAGAATCCAGTGCACCAATCTGGAAACAGATACATGTTTACTACTGAAGGGCATATCGTGTCTGTGGACAAACATCTTCGGAACTCTCCTTGGAAAAAATCCCTTTCAGAAGAGGGAGAGGAGCACCAGGAAGAAAAACATGTGCCTCGACCCAAACCTTTGGACTTAAAAGTGATCAATTCAAGCCTAAATGTAAGCATTTTTTAAAAAAATGAGTTTAGAAGGTGGAAAAAATACTGGTAATGACCCGTTATTAAGGAGATTGGAGGAAAGAGGGACAGGGAAGCGATTCCTATTAATTGGAATTTTAAATTGGAGGTGGCTGTTTTTAGATTTGGCTATTTGATATGATAAGCCAGTTTTAAAACTATGTTTAACTAAATGTAATGTGATGTTCTGATAGGAGTGAGGCAGAAAATGAAGACTTTTAAGATTTAATATGGTTGCCATTAATATTTGACTGAAGTAGAATTAGTTATTTTGGTGACACAGCCTCTAAAATCCACCCTAAACCAGAGTTTCACAGAACCTTTTAATTCTGCTCTGTTCTGAATGTCTCAGTCCCATCTCTTCCACATCTCCTAACAGAAAAAAAGCCTATTTTTCAGAATAATGCCAATACTGGATGTTTGGGACTGTGTATCTGTATCACATTACATATTGAAAACTTTGGAGGAGACAGTCCCACTTGTTGATGTACCCTCTGTTTTGTCCTCTCCTTTTCTCCAGAATAGCTGCTTAAAGTGCTTTCAACATACAGTTTCCAGCATTTCGATAGCCTTGTGAATGTCAGGGTGGTAAAAGGAAGAGATTGAAACATGATTCCAGTATGGGGGAGTGGGGGGTGGGGGGTGGAAGTAGGAAGTTTTTTTAGACAAGTTGCCATCTCAAATTCTAGGATGACTAATTTATTGTGGAGTCAAAGATCCAGATTCTCTTCCCAGCTGTGTCAACAACTAGCTATATGATCTAGATAAGCTGACCTTTCTGAGCCTCAGTGTCCTTATTTTTGAAATGAAGGGATTGGGTTTACATATTCTCAAAAGTCCCTTCCAGCTCATATTTTGTGATGTCATCTTACACTGCCCAGTACATTAGCTATCTCTTCCGTAGCTTCTTTGTACCGAAGGGTAAGAATACTTAGACAACTGTGTTACCTGGGGGACTGGTGGACCAGGGATTGGAATTCAGAATTAATTTTCCCCCAAATTTTCTTTTTTTTCCTAGTGCAATCGTATTCCTGATGAGAGAAGGTATTCTCTGCCCCTCAAGAGTATCTACATGAGACAGATTGATCAGATGGTCGGCCTGATTTGAGGGATCACCTTGCATGGTGATGTTTAAACAAACAGATACAGAGGTCTAACTGAAGTGGAAGGAGTACAAAAGTCTGGCCATGAATAATATGATGATGGAGGTTTGGCCAGCAACGTACTTGCTCTCTGTTCTTGCATATTTTAATTATTCTCTCCAGTTCAAAACACAATGAAAATTGGTCCCCTGTATTTCTTTATCAAGATTTGAAATCAAGAGTAGCTGATAGATTGTCCCTTTACTGAACACAGTAGTCACTGAGCAAAGCTGAAGTGACAACTCTGATTTTACAATAGACTGCTTGTGAAGGCCAGTATTAAGGAGTGGCTACCTCTTGTCATAGAGGCTGGCGCTACCTTTTTGCAGTGGGATTGTGGTTAAGATCCCTCTACAGAAGGGTTTACTGGGTTCACTTCTTTTTTTTCAAACAGCAATGTTTTCTCTTGTGGGATGGTTAGGCTGTCTCCTAGCTCTCCAGTAAGCCATCATCTGTCCTGATTTTGGATTACATTTATTTTTAAAGAAAAGAAAATTAATCTTTTGCCACCAATGTGCCAAGTAACCCTAACTAATCATTACTGCCATGTCTGAATTCTAACCAATGGCTTCTGAAGGATCATATCATGGAACTAAGAAATGACCTTGTTTTAAAATCTAAAGTAACATGGACTCTCCAGAAGAACTCCAGTAGTCCCACACCTTTGGGGTGGAGCAGAACTGCTCAGTGCTCCTCCCAGGCTTTTCGTGATTTTAAGTGCTTGAATTGTTGTCATGCTTGCTGGCCATGCTTCTTGATCCTGACCATGTTTAGGTTAAAAAAAAAAAATCTTTTTTTGTTCAGTTTCATCTCTAGTGCTCATTGAATGGAGATGGGGAAAGAAAATCACCAGGATGATACTCTTATATGGTTTGGGCATTTTTCCTGCCCAAGTTTCAGTTAGTGCCTTACGATGACTCGGTTATGGGTCACTGAAAATCTAAGCTGCTTCTACTTTTTAGCAGGCTCAGTTTGTGTTAGGATCTCATGGTGTTAGCATAGAGCTAGGTAGGGCTGGAATAAAATAGTGAAAGAATGGATAGATTGTTATTCCTTAGGAATGACTTGTGGTGGTGGGAAAATGGACAGTAGGGACCTTTCAATATTTCATTTCAGGGAAGTAAGTAACCAGGGAACTAGACTAACTTTTGGAGTGAAAAACCTCCTCTTGTTAGAAAGAAACAGAAAACTCTGGTTGGTAGTGTGTTTCCTTCACGCATTGATGCAAACATGTCATTAGTGAACTCAAACTAGAACTGAACTCTAATAGCTGATCTGAGGACTGTTACCATCAAAGGTCGTGATCTGGGCTGTCAGACACAGTGAGCTCCGGCCTTGCTTGTATATCCTACCTTGTCACTGCTGCCCACTTCAGATTTTCTTTACCCTTTTTCTAAAGGGAAGCAGATTGCTACTTAAACCCTCACATTTATCAACCAACTGGGGAATTTTTCATTCCTTTTTTTTTGGGGGGGTAAGTTTTAGTAGTTTTAGGTGTTTTAAGTTTTCTTAAATTAGATGTAAGATTCAGCTCTTGGATATTTTTCATAATGTGGTTCAGAAACCTGTCAGCTCATTTTAAAACTCTTTGCCATTACATAGGATATACTTTTTTAAAAAGCAAAAACATAAAATATTGATCTTTTTCACTGTTTAATTTTCAAAAGCCTTATACTGTTCTGAATCACTATCTGCAGTTAATTTGCTTTGTAGATAGAGTATTCATTCATTATATTGTGCTTAAAAAAAACCAAAACCAAAGTCTTTCATGACTTTTTATAATTAACTCTTCCCTCCTTTTCCACCTTTACTCCTGCACATTGCCTTCTCCAGCCAACTTTAAGATAAAACCTTCATGGCATGGAGGAGGAGCAGGCAGTGTGTGTTATCTGGGCTGGAACTGGAGTAGCCAACTCTCTGGGTTTGTCCCTGCTGCATCCCAGGTTTCCATGACAAAGTGGGGGGATAGCCACGTAACATCCTCTTCCAGTCCCCTGTTCTGCATGTCTTCCTTTCCCACCACTCTTGCGTGTCTAACACCTTTTCTTCTCCTGGTGTTGGAATCTGTGCCTGGCATCATGATCCATTCCTCTGCTGAGCTGTTTACACAACTCAGGGACATAATGTACCAATTCTGAAACAGCTCCCAGGACTGCACCTTTGTGCATAAGTGTTAGTGAGGATTGGTGAGTGGCTTCATGAAAACCCCATGTCCCAGCCCTACCCAAGCCCAAATGTCCTTCCTAGAGAGGGGTTTAGGTCCAGACATTGATCCTGGAAGGCCTCAGTTGTGGTGCCTAGGGTCATTGGTTGGTCATTAGGAAGGGCAGAATCAAATCTCTAATGGCGTTTTAAAAAAACAGGCAGTATTAGTGAGGTTTGAGTGTGGGTAAACTTCATTTTCTATTTTGGTCGGTGCCAGTACAAGCCAATAGAAATGATGCTGCCCCAAGCTTTGTGATGGTCATTAACCTTGTTACTTCACTGTGTCTTCAGTGGATGGTAGCTCTCAGAAGGCAGAAGGAAGGTGATTGCCAGGGAGAGGACATTTTCTTGCTGGTTTGGCTACAGAGAGGGCTGATGTCATTGGATGTTAGCTGCTGATGGGGATGCTGATTGTACGGGTCACCTCTGGAGCAGGGGGCAATCACTAAGCATGCATGGGTGATGGCTAACACATCAGACGGTCTTGGTCTCCACGCTGGTCATGTATCTTCTCGCTTGGTCATGCTAAGTGTTTTGTAAATGTCTCTGCCCAAAGTCCATAGTGTACAGTTCTTGTACATCAAAAACATGACCAAAGTCAAAACTCCAAATTTTTGGTGGAAAATTTTTTTAGTTTTGTTTTTTAAAGGTGTCTTCCAGCTTTGCAAGTATACTGACCTTACGTTAGGGCCCACTGCACTTTCAGACTTTCCCTCAGTGCCATCACACTTTGCTATCAGATATTGCCTGGGGGCCTCCTGCTGTCATCTGCCTCCAAACTGCTTAAAATAGTGGCCTCCCTTAATCTCTTAGTTTTGACAGTGCATTAGGATGTAGGTGTTTTGAAACCTTTAGCTGACTTCTCTAAAATAAACCACACACAAACACAAAAAACAACTAGTGATTAAAGAAATATATATACAGTTACATGTGAAGGAAAGTTTTAGTCATTATTTAATTTGGATGCTTTAATACAAATAGTTTAACATTACCAATAAGTAATTTTTTTTTCCCATTATGATTGGGTGTGGGAGGGGGTGTAGGGTAGCCTTGCCTGTCATCCCAGCTCCAGTTACTGGTTAATTGTAAAGTCTTCCTTCATGTTGTGCTGTGAATGCACATACCCTGCCTGATGTCTTGCATCTTTTCCACTTAAGCATTCCAGGGTGTCTTTTTTTTTTTTAATTTGAAGTTTGGAAAGTCTGCTGCTAGGTCCAAGGAGTTCTGCTGTCATGGTTGCCATAAACATCTCTCCTCTGTCCCCAGTCTTCTGACTCCCACCATTGTGCCTCTGATTTGCAGTTGAGGGGCCCTCCTGGAAGTGAAAGTCTCAGTCAGTCCTGTGACCCATTTCTTAAGTGACAAGAAAGCCAACTGAGATGATCTCAAATTGGGTATTCACTGGTCACCAGTGGGGCCATGGAGCAGGCCTTGAATAGTGACCACACTTGAAACAAATGTGAATTTGGTCAAATGTCAGGTAGCCATGGCGCTTCCCAATTCAGCCTCATGCCTCAACTCTTGATTCTTAGAGGTGAGAGATGTGGGGAGGAAGGATTTTGGAAGGTGTTTTTTGTTTTTTAAATAGCAACACATAGGGCACATTTTTATTTATTATGCACTAGAAAAGCAAATCTGTTTTTGCAAAACAGAATTGAAAACGGCTGGGGCGACTTGTTGGAATATACAGGTCTGTTGTGTGCTTCTCACTCTGTAATGTGCAATATAATTTGCAACTATAAATGAAATGTTTAATCTATGTAAATAAGAAATGGGTTTAAATTAAAGGGGAGCTTTTTTGTTTTGTAAAAGGACCAAATGTTCTTTTATAAATATCCTGAAGAATATCTCGCTCTTTGAAATTTATTAGAATTTTTACAGTTTTCATTAAAAGATTTTTTTTTAGTTGTCACCTTTTTTTTTCTGTATGCATGTGTGTGTGTGTGAGATATTGAAGCAAGGATGGAATTAGGGTTAAAAGCAGGGTCAGAATCACTGTACACTTATGAAGTGCTTATTATGTGCCGGGCACTGGCAGAAGTGAGAGTTGCTGACTCCAAGAATCCTACATCCACATTCTCCTGAATCAGAAAGCCTGTTTCTGTCGCTGTTGGTCCTGGGTAAACAAATTGCTTCACACCTTTGTGCTCCATCTTCTTTGTTGGTAAAGTAAGGGTTCACAGAGCTGGGAGGGGCCTTAGCAACCCTGGGTCCGCCTTCTTCCTTTTACAGGTGAGGCGAGTACGAGCCAGAAAGGTGAAACAAGCGACCTAGAGTCTGACAGCTGATAAGTATCTGAAGCAGATCCCAGGGCCGGAGCGTTCTCTGTGACAGGTGCTGCTCTGTCAGGAGGCTTGAGCAGATCTCTGGGGCCTCTGAGGCCGGCTCTTCAGTCCTGTTACCGACTCCTGGAAACGGGGCCCTTCATTGGGGGGGAAAGGAACGTTTCTCTGAGCTGGCCCCTGCTCCCGATGAGTGCAGTTCCCTTCAGCTGTCGGCAATTCCTCCGACCTAGTTTCCTGCAAAGAAGATGCAATCCTGGTGCTTCCACCTCTGGGAATGACAGATCCTTCCCCTTCCAGGAAAACTGAAGCCGATAATACAGGAAAAGATGAAATAGACCAGCCTGCCTGATGAAACACTTTGGCTTACAGAGTCCCGCCCAGACTAGGAGTCCGCTGGTTTCTGTTCACTGTGAATCACTGGGTAATTTTTCTTGGCATCAAGGGCCCTAGCTTAAGTTTTGCAGTGGGGAATACCCAGGGAATACCCTGTGCCTGATTAAGAGTCAGAGAATCTGTATTCACATCCCTCTGTGGCCACTTGCAACCTGTGTGACCCTGGGTAAGTCAATGCTCCTGAGGGCCTCGATTACCATTATCTGTCAATGTGGTGGGACATTGAACCCTTCGTCCAGTCCCTCACTGCATCTCAGGTAAGTCAATGCCATGAATACTATGATCATGGTGTCATAGAGATGGGAAGCACCTTAAAGATTATGCAGACCAACCTTATGAATAAAGAAATAGGCCTGGAGGAATGCAATAACTTAGCTAGCAGAGGCAGAGTTCAGACTCAGGTTCTCTGACTGCAAATCTGGTATGCCTCCCATTGAATGAATCAACATGGCTACATCAGTGCTCATCCTCCCATCACAACCTAACTCCAGCTCCTTGCACTATTTAAGGACCTGCTTCCCATTTTGTGGGTGCAAAATATACTCCCCAAAATTGGAAATGATCTTGCCTTTAGGCAGTTCCCGTCAAGAAACTCCCAGGGTGGGGTTGTTTTCTTGTGGGCTCTAAAGAGGGCAGTTTAGCCAATAGCTCCACCCGGAGGTGTTACTAAAGACTTCTTCACTGGGGACAAAAACCATCTGGGCATACGGAGGAAGGTAGGGTGGTGATGGCATTGTGTGGTCTCTTTTGTCCCTTGCTCTCTGCTGACCTATGACCCTGATCCTTCACCCTTTCCTGGGTCCTACCTTCCTTCCCAAATCCTACCCATGTTGGCATCTAGAAAAGATCTGACAAAGCTGGGATTTGAAGTCTGGCTTCCTGATTCCAGAGCCTATACTCTTCTCATCAGACCAGATGGTCTCTCTGCTGGGCTGCCCCATCCTTGTTATAGCTCTGGGTCTGGCTGAACCTGTGTCCTTAGGAACATGAAACCAAAATCACTCTCTAAAGTGCTTGGGACTCAAAGATGTATTCTTTGAAGAATGTCATGAAGCTATATCATGACATGGGACTTTCAAATACAGGATATCTGAAGAGTCTTAGGGCCATTTGAACCTTTAAATAGGATAGGATCACAGAATAATAGCTATTAAAACCTCAATATTTTAAAACAGCCCTAAGACTTCTGGGATACCCTGAATAATTTTCCTGATGAGTTAATGAACAATAAATTGTTTACTTAAATGCTCTTTATGCATTCATTTATATGAGAATTTTGTTCTCATGAATCTGGTTACATGATATAACTTCAGGTTTCCTAGAGAGTCATTAAGAAAGTTTGTTCTTCAAAGGGAGTGGCAGAGATTTATGAACTGAGTCAAACTGATAAATTAACTGATCCTAATGAGGCTCTATGAGAGGAAAAATGAGTAGCGGAGAACCCCTGAGATACTAGAAATGACTTTTAGCTAAATGATAGTGAGAAAAATCTATCATAAATAGAGATAATAATCACATCCCTGAGTTGGCTGTTTAAAGAGTCCCCAGAAGCCTGTCCTGGCCAAGAATTTAGTTTTGCTCTCTTCATTATAGATGAAAATGTCATGTTTCCCTCCATTCCCACCCACCCACCCCCACCCTCTTTGATTCATTTAAGTAAACTCTGTCTGACTCTTAAGGAAATCCAAATCCTGGGACAGCATTTAAGTGCACGAAGATGAAACCAGGAATCCTTCTAGCTGAAAAAGGACTCAGAC